TCGAGCTCAACCTAAAAACAAGGTTATCCAAATTGGGAGAAATTCTAAGCATTCGTAGAAGAGCAAATATATGATCTACATCATCAAAATCAAACTCAAATAACAAGAGAGTCCTCAAGTTGTTGAGGTATGTGGGGAACCTCTCTGCTTCAGTAGCAACAGACTTGAGGTAGTAAGTGTGCAGACCAAAATTACCAACTTCAGGCCAGCACTTGAGAAGATAGGTCATGTTTATCGGTTTATCTTGATTTGTTCCTGATGATGCAAGTATAACTGTTTTCAGCATCCGACAGTCCATGTAATGACCCAACTCAAGGGTTTTGGTTCTGTTGGTAAAGAATAATATTTGGGAAAGTTTTGGAGCATATATTTTCGAGTTAGGAAAACCAATACACAACTTAACTTGCAGAAACACAAGGTCTGGCATCCACAAGAAAGAAGAAGTTGCAACGTCTAAATGTAAGACGACTTTAAGTAGTGAAAGGTTTTTGAGCATGTGGAAACCCGTAAAGCTGCATGTTGGCCTGAAAATGCAGTTGAACAGCCTCAAACTTTCTAGTTTATTTATGCCGTACAGGCAGGAAGGCAATTTATAAGGAGCATTGTTGAGAATCAGACGATCCTTGTCTAGATTCTCAAGGGTGAGATCCATGATACCGTTTCTCGACAACAAAAGCAACCATTCATCAATAACTGAGTGCTGAGAAGAAGGTATTGATGAGATATTGACGAGGAATGTCTTAATGGCTCCACAATGTTGCAACAGAATTGTATTAATGACGTCTATTATTAATGGCTTGTTGTGGCAAAAGTCAGCAGAAAATACAAGCTTGGGAATTGAAACCCAAATATGTTTCCACGGTCTAGACAAAACACTCATTCTTGCCGCTTCTTCCACAGATAAGTGCTCCTGAATCTGGTGTTTAACATTAATAGGGAGATCTGTAAGTCTATCAAGTTCGTCCCTTTCAACTTTAAGTTTCTTAAAGCAGCTACTGATCATTGCCACTTCCAATTCTGAATAGCTGGAAAGAAAAAAAAAAGGTCAGAATATAAGATTATAAACATGCTTCAACCTCATGTCTACCACAATAATACCATGGGGCAATGAATCTAAGAGCCTGTTTGGATCAACTTGTTTTAAGTGTTTTAAGCCAAAAAGTTTGTTATGCACTTTTAAAGTGTTTGACTAAAATTAAAAGAAGTGTTTTTAAGCACTTGTTTTTAAGACAAAAATATAAAAATAAGCAAAATCTAACTTGTGGATTTAGCTTATAAACCAAAAGCTGAATAATTGTTAAACAACACAGGCAGACTTCAGACTTGGTATTTATTGAAATTTTAGTAGTTTTCACATAGTCGCAAAAAGGAACGCTGATGGACCACCGACGCTGGCATCACTATAGAAACCCAACCAAGATCCCGCCACTGTTACCACCAGATCCCCTGTCTTAATCCCCAAGCTTTTCCACCTCTTCCAACTGCTGACACCGCTGAATTGGGCAAAACCCACCCTCACAATAATTCCACAATCACCACCGTTCTAGCTCCAATTGCAGAATCTTCAACAAATTTTACAAAAAGTCCTAGCTGGTTCCAATCACGGAGGTGGGCTAACAAGAGTCAAACTACCTCACCGACCATAGGCAATTATTTCAGGAAAACCTACAGTGAGCTTCACAAAAGAAGAGGATGACCAACTTGCTGCTACATGTTGATTGACAAGTTTCCCAGAACTAGACCTGCTATAGATAGAATTCGAACAGATTTCAAATGATCTAATACCAGCTCGAGGAAAAGTGTGGATTGGAGCCTATAATTTACGGCATGTCTTCACTGATTTTGACCTAGAGGAGGACTATAGAAGTGTCTATAGTAGGAACTTCCTTACTATTTGTAACATACAAATGAAATTACTCACTTGGACAAAAGACTTCAAACCAGCGGTGGAAACTACCCTTGCGCCAGTTTGGATAAATCTACCGAATCTCAAATGGCACTACTTCAAATGTGATGCCCTTTGTAGGATAGTAGAGCCCATAGGAATCTCAATAATCGCTGATAAGGCTACACTCTCAAAGAGTAGACCAACTACTGCCAAGGTGAAAGTTGAGATCGATGTCACAAAACCACTCCGTAATGAAGTTGTGATGAAATTAAAACTACTTCGGGCAAGCTGAAAAAGATTATACGGAAGACTGAGTATGAAACTATTCCGGAGTACTGCAAACATTGTAAAATTCAGGAACATAGTGATCTGAAGTGTAGGATGGCACATCCTGAACTTAGGAAGTTACATGATGTTGTAGAAAAGGGGAACAAGGAAGTTGTAGCTCAAAATCCTCGAGAAGATAGAAACACCGCAAAAAATGCTATGCAAATAGATTCCAGTGGCGAGAAAGAGGATAAAAGTGCAAAAGGGAAGGAAGCAAATAAGGCAGGACACTCACAAACCATGGAAATTGAAACACATGAAGATACAGTAGGTTGGCAAACAGTGCCGAAAGGAAGAGGCAGAAACAGAACAAACAAGAGTACTAATGTATTTTATTTTATTTTTTGATGACAAGGGAAACCCGCAG